AGGGAATTGCAGTGCTCTCAAAGGCTCAAAAATTAGGAGATTGGCCCCAAAATCATCAGATTGCTTTTAAGGGTTGTATTTTGTTTTTGGTCTGTCTTTTTATTATTGAGCTCCTCCTACCACCCCAATACGTATGAGTGACCATTACAGTTGCCAGCTCTTCCAGCTGTACAGAGTGAGGTAATTCTGGCCCTGCTGCAGGAGCTCTCGCAGCTGCCTGATGGAGCAGAGCTCCCAGCTTCTCCCCAAACCCCAACAGTCTAACTACTTTTGTTCCCTTCGCAGTCTAGTATTACAGGGAGAGAGAGGGGAGGGGCAGAGCCCAGACTGATCCATTTTTCACAAGAGGGGAGGAAGCAGAACTGCCCTGAGCTCCTAGGTTTTCTACTCCCTCCTCTCCTGTCCCCATCCTGTGTGAATCATGGCACTGCTCCCTCTCCCCTTCCCAAAATCTCCTTTAAACTCCTGAAAAATTTGTGGAGAGCTGTGCTTTCCTCCCACAGAATCCCTGATTGGCTGCTCTTTCCCATTAGCTGGACAACTGGGGAAGGCAGCCAATCGAAGAGAGCAGGGCTGGAAATTGTGTCAGGGCTGGAACTTCTCATGTCATGGCAAGACTAGTTCCAGCAGAGAGAAAAACTGCATTACTCAGTGAATTCACAAGGCGGTGTCAACATTGGGATTGCATATACTGAGGGCCAAATCTCTGAGTTTGCCTAACCAGTTTCTGTTGTAGTTCATTTCTGTATGTTCCAAAGTTCTTATGTGCATGGGCAAATTCTTATGTGCACTCAAGCATTAATTTGAGTGAAAAAATATAAATTGTGTGCACAAATCCTGAAGTTTTGATCATGTTAAAAATACATAAATAGATCACTCAAAATGATATGCACAAAAACTTGGGAGTGCAATCTGAGATATGCAAAATAAAGGCTGGGTCAAAATTATACGGAAAAACTTGACCCTCATTGCCTAAAGAGTGACACAAAACTGAAGAGAAAAAAGAGAGGAAGAAAATGTTGTTTTAAATCTGCTTATCTTTCATGGATCTTTAGGTTTTCTCCAATGCCCAAGGAAGTGTGAAGCCCCAATGTATTTTTATGTTATATCCTCACATGTTTAAACCTATTTTATACAATTCCAACTAACTCTTTAACCCAATCCTATTTTTCTTACACAGGTGAAGCTCCTATTGAGGTCCATGGAATTTTTGCCAATGGTATCAGACACTTTAGGGGTTACACACGGAACCTATTTTTGCTTTGCCCCTCCCTTTATCCCCATTCTAATCTTGGGATTTACTCAGACTCTATAGGGGTGACAAAAATGCAGCTCTTCAACCCTTGAACTGTGGCTCAGAAAGTCTCTCTTCTCAAACTGTTCACATGCAGGTTTCTGCAACTCAGCTGTAGGAAGGCATCACAGTCTGTCATTGCTTGCAGCCATATGTACCACTTGTTGCCATAGGTTAATGAATAAAAAAGATAGGACGCAGATCTGGGGCTCTATTATTTTAGGGCCTGATCCAGGAATCTTCTAACTAAAAGCAAAACTCTCCACACTGACTTCAATGAATAGGAGTTTTCTCTGAGTAAGGACTGAATAAGGATGGCCCTAATTATTTTAACCAAAAAATTGTGTGTGACAAAGGACTTTAATATGCATGCCAATACAGTGATCTAAGACAGCAGGATGGACCTGGTCTTGTTGTCACTGAAGATAATGGGAACTTTATTGTTGAGTTCAATGTGAGCAGTATTAGGGCCAGTGTATCAGCTGTCCTGGACCCAAAGCCTAAGTTTGTGATCAATGTGAAGCAACTATATCAGAAAGTTTGGCTTTCGCTAAGCTAAGTAAATGAAGAGATTCAGAAAAAGAAGTATTATTTTTCCCTTTTGTAAACTGATTAACTACTCATTTTGGAGTCTATTCTGCCTTCAATACATGCATGAAAATCCTATTACCATAAGTGAAATTATGTTTGCAGAGGGAAGAATGAACCCCTAAAATGTTACAAGAGCAGAAAATAAAATCTAAGATCATCCAAGAAAAGTTTAAAGTGCAAATTTCTATTAACTTGATTTATTAATGCTTTGGGGTTTCTTTTTTGTCCTACAACTATGTTCACTGCTTACTAAAATTCTCTTGGCAACCACATACTTCCTTGCTTCTGATCTCATCACACACACACAGATGGGTCATGCTTGTAAAATATTATTAGGGGAGGCCTGAGCACAGGTCACTCCAGAGATGTAATCAGACTCTGACAGCTTCTGTGAACTCAGACAACCTCTATCTCTGCCTCTGTTTCCTTAACTGTAAAATGGAGAGAATAATGCCCACCTCCCAGGGGAGCCATGAGGGATTAGTTAACATTTGTACAGATTTTTGAAGAGGAAAAGTGCTAAGTGTTATTACTATTTGGGGAGACAGAGATGGGAACTTCACGTGAGCCTAAATTTTATTCTCTTCCCAAAAACAAACACAACCCAGTTATAAATAGTGTTTGCAGAAATACAACAGGAGAAGTTGGTGCTGTATAACAATTTTTAGTTTTGGATTTAAAGTCTGTTTAAAAGAGAGATTTAAATATTCAAGCAGATCATTTTTTACTTCTGTAGTTCTGCAATGTACCAGCATTTTACAAGGTGGATTTTTGTTCAGTAGTGTAATAAGATGACAGTATTTACAGACCAATTCTGGTTTCCATAACAAGATCATGATTTTCTTTATTGTGATCACTGGTTAATTTATTTCTGCAGTCCATCATTTTTCTTTTGTTTAGGAGGGCCTGCATAAAAGTAAACTCTTTACAGACACTATTCAGACTGTTTTTATCAGTCGAAAAGTATTTAAAGTAGAGGAAGAATGGTCTTGTGGGGGTTCGAGGAGATCAGGGTTTAATTCTTGGCTCTGCAACTGATTCTCTAGGGAGATTTTCAAAGGTACAGATGGCAGTTAGGTGCTTTTGAAAATCTTCTTTCCCCCTCCCCCATGTGATCCTGAGCAAGTCACTGATTCTCACTGTGCCTCAGTTTCCTATTTGTACCATGGGGATAATAATACTTACTTCTTTTCCCCAGCTTTTTTGCCTGTCTTGACTATTTAGACTCTATAAACGCTTTGGGGCATGGACTGTCTCTTACTAACTTATGTACAGAACCTACTGCAGTGAGGCCCTGGTCTCAGTTGAGACCTCAAGGTGCTACTGTAATACAAATAATAAATAATGTTAATACTAGTTTAGGGGTCTGGATAGCATTAATTAAAACTGATTTCTCAAAGCCCTGGTTATAATGCTGCCTGTAATTTGGTGCTGCTAAAAACTGCCAGATTAACAGCCCTATATACCAAAACCCTTTATTTATCCAGAAGGCAGGTTCAGCTCAGGCATCAGCAGAGTAAGCTTTGCTCACATGGCACCCCAAATGTGACACAACCCTACAGAAGGGCAACTACTGACCCCCAACCCAATCACTCTGATTTCTAAATGAATTAATTTTGACCTTGTTGTACCTTTCATATCTGCATTCTGTGAACATTCAAGAGATTGAGTTTTACTGGAGCAAGTGTTCACGGAATGTGAATTTCAGAGTCATATGCATGGGCATTTACAAAAAATAAATGGTAAGTCTGCAGATGCATCTGCTCTACTGGTAGTAATGCACTCAACCATTTAGGGAACAGAAACAATACCATGCTACTTATCTGAGCAATCACAACTAAGGACAAATTTATTTTCAAATGACGTAGTGTCAAATTCTCACAGGTGAAGTGCGTGTGATCCATCCATGAAGTCAAAGAGAAAATATGTTGAACAAATGTGCATAACGAATAAATTCAAGGAAATCACAATCTGCTCTAATTTAGTCTGCAAGTGGAATGACACACAGAATTATTGGAATGCAGTTATTCACTGCACACTATTCTCTCAACTCTACTGAACTCAAATCTGGAGGGACCATGTCTAGTGATAAAAGACAATTCATGTTCCATGCCCACTCACTAATTACCCTTTAGCCTAGTACCAGTAACCAATTACAGCCAATTATGATAAGAGAGATGGAGCTTTGAATGTGGACTTAAGGAACTGGATTACAAACCAGCTATCGAATGATGATGGCTTTTGGCCACTCATTATCAATTTAGGCCAAGTGTCTATCGATGACTTAGAAGTGAAAGTCTTGATAATGGATTAACAATCGTGAGCCATTCACTTTCCCCAGTGAGCTCTTTCAAGAATATAACCAGGATCCTAGGCTCCGTGGGCCCGTTTTGTCCCTGATATAATTCCACTGAAGCCAATTGAGTTATACCAGGTACTTATTTCATCCAGTGCATATAACACGCTAATTCATATCTCTATATACTCAGCACATCCACTATTTCCTTCTTCATCACTCAGCTTGTAATCTCTACACAATCAGCCAAGTATGCAACACATGACCAGAATTCCTGCACATTATATAAATAATTCAGGAAAGTTCTTCACTCCTTGGGGAGACTTACTCACATATCACCTGATCATGGGGTTTAAAGAGATGTCAAAGAAATTCTGTGGTTGTTATAGTCCAATGATAGAAATTTCATTAATTCACGACAAAATTTTAGTATTCCCTTTGAGTAGAACTATAAAATTATTTTAATTCTAGATAAATTAGCAGAAGCTGAGTTGATACCAAGGTGGATTGGTCTGAATTTGCCGGTCGAAGAATGTTATATGATGCATCTGTCACTGAGAAGCTGCTATGGTTGGATTCAGAACCAATGATGCTGTACAGTTTCACGTGGCTCTGATAACACATAGGTAAACAGCTGGATTGCTAAATCCCAGAGGTAAAAAAATCATTGATAAAGCAAATTAAACCCATGAGATTTACAATGTGACAGGAACAAAAAAAGCCCAAACGAATCCAATTCCCAATGCTCATGTCCCTGTGCCCCAGATGGCACTATTACAAGTGATTCTTGGAAAGAGCAGTAATCTTATAGGAAAATACCCTGCAGTGATGATGGTCCGTGTTGAATCTGCCAGTAGTTGCACTGATTGGCCATATTGCTGTGCTTCTGCACTAGTAACCAACCCCAGGGCCGGATTTAGGGGGAGGCGATTCAGGCTGTGGTGCCGGGGTTGCGGGGCACCAGGCTCGGGTGCTGTTTTTGCTCCTAGCAACAAAAGGGAAAATAGAATATTTGAAGTAACATGTTTCAGGTATTCTGTATATGGATTCATTTTTCACTAACCTTCTGGACCTTTGTAGAATCTCATGGAACCTTCTAGACTTTCTGAGAACTACTTTTTCCTCAAACCTCCTAAAATGTTGTCAGCCATGCCCACGCAGGCATATAAGGAGCAGGGCATCGCCAGTCAGTGATATATAAGTATGAACTGAAATGAAGTGAAAGCCCAGCTTCAATATTGTGAACCTTGTTTTATTGTGTAATTGTGAAAGTGTATTTGTGTTTTAAGACTTGAAGAGTACAAGTAGTGACTAATAAAGGACATATTTAATGAGATGCCAGAACCCCTATATACACAACAATATAAAATACATACGCATTGTTACTTCTTTTACCATGCTTAACACGTAACATTTGAGGACTTCCTAAATCTGTGGAATACAGATTTTTACTCTCCCAAATACTGTGTATTTTTCCCTGTAGAAAATAAAAGATGTCCCTGAAGAAGCCTTCAGAAGCTCAGTCTAGGAAGCAGAAAGCTCAGTTGTAATCTAGTTTGCATCCAGGGGCAAATTTGATGGGAAACAAATGGAGGTGGGGGGGAGCCAAAGATGCTCCTCATTTGGGGTGCCATTTAGTTTAGGGACGGCCCTGACCAACCCTCCCTCAAAGCACTCAGACCGTAAGCTAGGTCTGCAATCTCAGGTGACACAGCTCCAAACCTTTCCTGTCAAGCAACCTTTATATTTTACTCAGAAAGCAGAAGAAGTGATAGGACATTCCACACATGTCCAAAGGCCACTAGATTGCCACCTTCTTTGCTGCATATACCACATATATCTAGGGCAACTGAAAGGTTATTTAAGACGGCAAAGGGGAAATTAATACTCAGTGCATTTCCAAAGTAGAAACTGCGAGTTGCTGGAATCACTTATTTAAAACTTTTTCTCAAGTACAGCAAGACGAAAGTGAAGTAAAATCGTCTAGAGTGGGTTGGAAACACTCTCTCCTGAAGCCCTAAACATCACTTCTAGTGACATTAACTTGAGCTACATGTCCCATCGGAGAGTAAGTGTCAGCAAAGTAAATGCATTAGTTAAAGCTTAATAGTAGTTTAGTGTTCAATATCTTGAAATATTAAATATGTTTTTTCCCAAAGTAAACTGCTATTCAGTTTTAATGAAGGCATTAACCTGCTTGATTTGTAAGCTCCTGTGGGAAGCCAGTCTAAAATACTGTCACAAGAGGTGGGCAGAAGTAACAAGAGCTATGACAGAAAATCAAGCACATTTTAAATGTTAAAAAAGCAGCCAGAAAATAAGTCTCAATATGCTCTTGTTTTCTTTTAATTTTGTTTATTTTTTTGGTAATGTGATTTGTGCCCTTTAAAAGATGCCGATTAGGGCTGGTTATAATGTTCGTGGCAACCGTGGGTGTTGAAATCTTGGTGAGTTTTCACTAATGAGTTAGTCAACATGAAAATGGGAAAATTCAGATTAAAAATTATTTGGGTCAGAATCAGAGCTTTGAATTCAAAGCTTTGAGTTTCTGGCATCAGTGGTTTGGCTGCTTTCAAACAGAATCCACCCCTGTGGCTTTGATCCCAGTTTGAATTTCCTGGATTGACTTTGGATGCAGGATAAATCTCATGGGAACAGATAATCTTATGAATTTTCAACTAGAAATGCTAGAGATCTAGTGAGAAATGATGAGTCTCTGAGCAATTAAACTGGGTGTATACTTTCCCTGAAGTGTATATTGGTGAACTAGCAATGGAGAGGAGTTGGCTGCTTTGTTTCACGGTGGCTGTGTTTATTTCATGCTGTCAAGCATGGATTCTGACACTTAATAGTATTAATATTGCTATTTCTATTGATATAATTAGCACTGCTATAAATAGCTAAGACTGCCATAGCTAAGTATATCATTGCAATCAGCAATATCAGGGCCCCCTTTATTACACAGCAGCCTGGAAATACAAGCTGACAGATCTAAACAAGAAGACAGTTACTGAGCGATACCAGTGATTCTAATAGCCCAGTTAAAAGTGGCTATTGCTGCATGTAAGGCTCTTCTAAATAAACTAATTTATATGTGTGAGACTAAAGTTTCTCACTAGTCTCACACTTGCCAACACTTGAATGCTATAAACAGGCGACCCTGCTTTCCAGCCACATGATATGAATAACTTATATGGACTTCAGTGGAAGTTATTCATATGCTATGATGGTAGAAGAGGGGCCAGGTATGATTAGGATAGAAGTAAGGACATACCTTTAAATTCCACTGAAATACACTAGTTTAGGAGAGCTTTTTGGGAAGATAGAGTGGGAAATCATTTGCTAACTAAACAAAACAAGAAGAGGCTGATTTTCCTAAATAGGGATGCTATTTCAATCTCCCGCTGCACCTTATTATACTGAAGAATATTTAAGTGACAACCTGATCTAGTGGCCCAAATGGCTCTCCCAGCATATTTCAATGGACTCTGCTACTGCCTCACTATGGTCAAAAAGTGTCCACTAGCTTTGGAGGCATCTATTTTTGTGTCCAACATAAAACAGCTTGGGTTGATTTTAGGAGGTGCTGAATACCCACAGTTTCAAGTGGCTTCAAAAGGAGAAATACATGCTCACTACCTGTAAAAATCAGCCTCAAAGTGTCTCAAGGTGTGTACCCAAAAACAGAGGCATCCTAAATTAACAGCAATTTTTGAAATGTTAGGGCTTTATTGATTTATCTTCTTTTCATCCTCTGTAAAAGGAGGATAATACTACAGTATGTACCTCCCAGGGAGTTTGTGAAGATTAATATTTGAACACTGTACATGTAAACTGGATCCCTGTGTTTTTATTTTTTCATACAGCTCTGAGCGTGGTTTGCCATGCAAGCTTTGAGTGTTCGACCTTTTTAAGCCAAAAGCACTAGCTGTCCAAAACTCAGAATGGGTGGGGAAGAGGTTGTGTGGGAGTTTAAGTCATTTGTTTAATAACCAGTGGGTGTGAGACATATGCATTTTCCAGTACTACAAGACAGCAAAATCAAAGCATTTTGTATTCCTTTTACATTAGGACAGGGCTGTGTTGATACCCTTATCTAGCCCTTGGATAGACTGCTCAAGAGACAGAGTTGCTAGCTTCAATGCACATAAACTTACAACAGTAAATTTTGTACAATACAATTCAAGGAAAACTTTGGACTATTTTACTAAGGCTATGGCTACACTTCAGAGCTTACAGCGGCGCAGCTGCACCACTGTAGCGCTGCTAGTGCAGATACTCTAAGCCGACAGGAGAGCTCCCCCGTTGACTTAATTACTCCATCCCCCATGACTGGCAGTAGCTATGTCAGCAGGAGAAGCTCTCCTGCTGATATAGTGCTATCCTCAACAGCGCTTAGATCAATGTAACTTATGTCACTGGGGGGAGGGGGGACTTACTCACACCCCAGATTGACATAATTTATATCAACCTAAGATGTAGTGTGTATACAGCCTAAATTTTTTTGGTCTAGCTCGCTTGGTATGTGGTCAAAGTTCTCACACAGCACAGTATCTCTTTCAAAAATCCTAAAACCAAATGCATCCCTTGTGTAACTCCACTGATGTCATTTAAATTACACCAGAGATTAATTTAATCTTTAGGGCCACATTCTGCTCTCTGGTGTAATGTAGACTAATTCCACCAAAGTCAATAGAGTTACAACCAGAATTTGGCCTCTAATGTCAAGCCAGAAGATCTATGAAATGCCTTCTATCTAAGGTACTTATACAATCCCCATCACCATAATATCTGAACACCTCACAATCTTAAATATATTTATCCTCAAACACCTATGTAAAGTAAGAAGATACTGTTATACCCATTTTTACAGATGGGAAATAGAGAGACTAGGTGATGTGTCCAAGGTCACACAAGAAGCCTGTGACAAAGCAGGAAATTGAACTCAGGTCTCCCAAATCCCAAGACAGCAACCTAACCCTGACCCATATTTATCATGGAACACGGAGTATTGATGATATGTACTAAGGCACTTCAATTTTAAAACAAAGCAGGGAGGACATAAGGAATCATTCCTCTTGTATATAGATGAAAAGTCAGACGTGGGTCATGTCTGTTTCTCTGAAAAAAAACGTGTATTGCAAAGGGTAATATAACTCTTCCATCTTTCCTGATTGGTCTCATCTCTGTGTCTTCCGTAGTTCTAAGTGAAGTAAGAGTACAGTACAGTCCAAGACTACTAACATATCTCCCTCTCCTGATCAATGATCAGGAGGGAGTCCACATTCTGAACATAAATCATAAATCAGGTTCCATCGGGTTTTATTCAAATTATTTTATTCAAATTATTCAAATATGCCACTAGTATTCACAAGTCATTTAGGTGCTTTTGAAAAATCCCTCCTCTACTAACCAACTTTTATTTTGGGTTGAAAACTCCAAATGTTTAGTCCCAGCATATCTTCCTCATGAAAATTACAAGGAGCTAATTTTTTTTTTGATGGTGCTTCACTGCTACTCTGCATCAAGGTTCTTCAGTAAGGGAAACAGCCCAGGCTTGCTGAAGTCACCCATGTCAGTTTATGTCTAAGTCACCCATGTCAGCATCCCATTACCGACTATCCTGTAATGATATGTACACTCTTTCTATAACAGCTGACTATTTCAACAGACATTTAATTCAGGTACTATCACTCAAGCCATCCACAGCCCAGGGAAATAATAAGATTAGAAAAAAACCTTATTTTACAAAGTATGTAATTACATCTGAATCTCAGTAACTTGGACACAAAAGAGGTTAGACCTACAGCTTTAAAATCCCACCTGTGTTGAGATTTCCTGCCCCTAATCAAGCAGTCCCACTGAAATCAAGTAAGCCTGAAGAAAAGCTAGGAAAATAACCCAGAACTACTGAATACAAGGGCTGTGGTTTAACCACTAGAGAATACTATAAAAATGCTGGTTTTGTACGATGGGTGCTAACGA